GCTGCCACATAATGTGGAAAATGAAATATAACACTGACAGTTTGAGCAGCTAATTTGGGTCCTGGAGCACCACTGGGAGGCAGGTGAGCTGTAAAGAGGCAAGACAGGGATTTAAGATCTGCAGTCTTCAGAGCTTCTAAGAGTTTTTTGAAAAATGATGTTTTATGCTGCTTGATAACCAAAAGACAGCAGGAAATCTTAATTTTGGAGTGTCAGAGAGTAATTGGAAAAAATGAGCTTTTTTGCTTTTGGATTTCTATAATACGGTGCATTGGTGTGCATGATCCTTGCGTAACCAGAAGGCGATGTTTCAGGTGTGCTTCTTGCCATCTCAAAAATATGAATCAAGAGTCTTTGCAGAAACATCTGGAAAAGCCCCACAAGGGAAAGCTGTGATTTGTCCGAGCACAAAGATCCGTTGTTGAAGAGATTCTGGAATTCAGACAGGAAACAGCACCGTTCCGCTGTTGTCGGTTAGCGTGGCTGCTAACTGGTGCAAAACGTAACTCCTTGCCTTTTCTCCCAAGCACGTTAGCAGCCTCACAATCGGTTATTCATACTTACAGGCAGACCTCTTCATGGAATGCTGAAGGTTGGAAGGGACCTCTAGGGATCACCTAGTCCAACCCCTGCACACGCAGGGTCACCTAGAGCACGTGGCACAGGACTGCATCCAAGCGGGTTTGAAGATCTCCAGAGAAGGAGACTCCACAACCTCTCTGGGCAGCCTGTTCCAGTGCTCTGGCACCCTCACTGTTAAGGAATTTTTCCTTAAGTTCCTGTGGAACTTTTGGTGCTTCAGTTTGTGGCCATTACCTCTAGTTCTGTCAGTGGCCACTACTGAAAAGAGACCAGCCCCATCCTCCTCACTGCCTCCCTTGAGGTACTTCTAGACACTGCTCAGGTCCCCTCTCAGCCTTCTCTTCTCCAGGCTGAACAGGCCCAGCTCCCTCAGCCTCTCCTCACAGGGCAGATGTTCCAGGCCCCTGATCATCCTTGTGGCCCTGCGCTGGACTCTCTCCTTTGGGAGAGGCTTTTATCCTGCTCCTGCCCACTGTGGTCCTGCTGCTGGAGTCACTGTGTTTTCAGCAGCCGGTATTTCACACAGCTGCATGGAGATGTGAGTGCTGGGAGGGTTAGATAACACACAGGCTTCAACTCGCCGTCTCGGTCCAGCTCAATCCTGACGAAAACCCTCCGTCTCCAAGAGCAACTGCAGTGTAAAGGTCATGAAAGAGCGGCTGGGTGCGGAGGAGAGGGACGAGCTGGGAGTTCTTCGTTAGCTGATCCACCAAGTCACGTTTTCAGACTGGCATCAACACTGTAGCTAGAGCAGCAGCAGCGTGGACCGTGTCCGACAGGGCCGCGCGATCCCTTGTCTCGAGGACGCTCTGTTTCACTGTCGCGTGGTGACTTTCGAGGTGTGTTCGAGGCGGGTGGTGAAAGCTGGTTCTCTTCCTGGGTTTACAGTAGCTTTCCTGGCGTGGCCCGCGCAGCCTGTTTTCCATGGAGCGCTTCCATGGACGTGTCGGACAGGATTTCCTTGTGGTGACGTCTCCGAGGTCGGAGCAGGGTGCCCAGGAAGAGGTCGGCCAGACACATGGAGGCTGTTCGGCCCTGCCCAGCAGAGCTTTCTGCATGCTCTAAAACGTGGATGATCTCAACATGAGCTTGAAAATAGGGAGACTGCCATTTGGGAGACGCTGGGAATGGAGACACAGGAGTTAGATCTCAGATGGAAGGTGTGAATGAGGACATAACATTATTTTTTCTCCTTTTCCTCAAAGATTAGAGACAAGCCCGTATTTGCATGTGCGGATGCAGCGTCCGAGCTCCGCAGCGTCGGGCACGGAGCGCCAGATTGTGTCTACCAGAACACCCAGGCTTAATTTGGGAAACGTGGTTGGACCTGATAACATTTTATCTGCGAAAGAGAGGGGGTTTCTGATAACGGTGCCGTTGGGATCACGCCTGGGCGTGTGACAGCAGCTCCCGGCCCTGCCACAGCGCCCGCAGTGACACCCGCTCCGAGGTGCTCCCTGTTCAGGAGCTGCTCGGGGCACCTTGGGCACCCAGGGTAGGAGGCAGCAGCGCTTCTGTTACGCACATAAACCTTTCCATAAACCCTCCATGTAGGGAAGGGAGAGGCAGGAAAGGCTCCTACACATTTATTTCCTCCCTTATTAAACATCTCTTCTGTTGTGCAATTCCTGCAGCAGTGTTTTAGAGCACCGGTGCCATTCAGGCTGGCTTTCCGTGAGATTGAAGGAGACTGGGGAGCTGATAGTTTTTCCAAAGAGTATTCCATGAAGAAAGCAGGTCCTGCCTGCCCGGTTCTGGGACAGCTTCCAAACTCTGTTTAATCCTGTCAGTGGTATCAAGCTACTGTTTGAGGAGGGGCCTGAGAGCCACAAGATTATCAGCATCAGTGATACTTCCATTATATCCAAAAAATAGTGCACAGGTTATTGAGAAATTTTAATGTACTTCACTTTTTGAGGTGCTGGACAGGGATTCTCCTAAGAGTGTAGATGGAGCTGAGTTGTGTCTTTGGGGATCCAGGAATTCATCCTTGTGCAGAGCTGCTCCTAACACTCGCTTTCACTAGTAACATTTGGTTCTTCAGTTTTATCTAGAGTTTTATTGCTATGGAAAGTGAAGTGCCTTCACAACTCCTACTTATTTATCTCCATAAAGTCTATGTTGCTTTGGAAGACACTTTATTTAACGTTAAAAAACTCCTTAATGTTCGGAGATGAAAAAAATTGCTGCATCTGCTGTGCTGCAAGAGGAGACGATCACCAAAGCGCAAAGGATTTATAAGCACAGTGCTGCAAAATGAGAGATTATGCCTTAAATAGAGGGTGTTTCTTAATCTGGGCAGTTGATTTGTTTTCTTAATCTAAAAATGTATTAACAAAATTCATGTGTTCTCAACAGCGTTTGACATCAGGCAGAGACTTAGCAATATTCATACTTTACAGTTCTGCTATAACCACTTCTTAAAAATGATTGGGGAAATTGCTGACCCTGTGCAAAGTTGTCCTAGCAGCCCGTTCATTCATTGCTCTTGTAAAACCCGCTTAGTTAAGGTTCGTTGGGACAAAATGTGTATGTGGCACCACTGTACAGCAAAAAAAAAAAAGTGCAGTATATGGGAGATAGCACAGGAATGCAGCCTCATTCATACCTCCTTTTCCGGGTACCCTAGGGAAAAGGGAATCTCTTCCCCCAAAAGTTCGGTTACTAACATTTTATTTTTGCATCTCTATTCTTTAGTTAGTGCAATACGTGGTTGAGACTGTGTGGGTTTAAGACATACAGTCGTCTTTTTTAGAATTAGTTCTTTTCCCCTTGGGTAATTTTAAATTCGAACCAGAGTTGGGAGCTAATTTTAGTTTCTTTTCCAGCGACAAGGAGCGCACAGGCACTTGTCATCTGCAGCCGCTCGTCCTTTGTAGTGTGTGTGACCCAGATTTGCTGCTGCAGGGGTTAACTGCCTGCAAAGGAGTCCGAGACTGCGGGATTTGTTTGAAAAACAGCATTACATGGCAGTGAATTAAAAGCCTGTAAAATTGTTACGGGACCAAAACACGGATCTTGATCGCTGGGGAGCGAGGGGATATTTCACATAAACAAAGCTGGTGATGCCACAAGAGGAAATTCTGCATTCTCCCAACCTCCTTTTGCATCCCAGGTCTCAGAAGCTGTGCAGTGATTTACTGTGTGCCTTGTACACTGTGTATCCCGAAGGTAGCAGGGGTCTGCAAAGAATGGTCCCCTTTCCTGAGACCTCCTTTTCCATGCTCTTCTCTATGCTGTGGAGATCAGTGGCTTGCTTGTGGCGTTCTCAGCTTGGATTTGGCATATGCTCGCTGTTTTTCCTTCAAATTTCTACAGTTATTCTCCCTGGAAGAGCTGCTTTAGACACCATTCTAGGGTAGACAAGTCATTGAAAATTCAATTACCCATAGATATAGTCTTTCTCCAGATAATGTCCCATAATTATGGCCTGTGAACATCTATAGCCTCAGTCATAGTGAGAGAAAAGTTAATAGAAAAAAATGTTGGTAAACAGAAAAACAGATTTGTGAAGTCCTTGGAGCTAAACAGAGCCTGCCTGATCCAGGGGACAAACTGGGATCTGACACAGGGCTTGAAGGATGGCGAAGGGAAGATGGTACCTCTGCTTTTGCTTCTGCTTAGAAATGTTTAAATGTGCTTAGAAGTCTTTTCTTGGTTTATTTTATGTTAAAAAGCCTTGATCTCCTTAACCCTACTGGCTCTCCAAACCTAGACTAATCGAGGATGGATGTTTGCCTCCAACGTGCTCCTTTTGGATCTGTGTGGCCAGCAGGCCCACACTCCTGAATTCAAACCCTGCGGGGTGGATCGGTGTTGACTGCGGGAAACGGGACAAAATCAGGGGATGTCGTGGGTGCCACCAGGCAGATCTTGATTTAGGAGGAAATCCCAAGGAGGAAACAGTCCTTGTCAACCGATTAGCTGAAGTTATGGTTGTGCTCCCCTTGCGTTGTCCATAAATTGCCCCGCCAGCCGTTGGCATCTGCTGGTGTCCCAGAGCCGTAGGTCACGCTGCGCGTGCGACCAACGCGCCACGCAAACGGGGAGGAAGCGCTTGGGAGCACGAGGACGACGAGTCCTGCCCAGGACGGGGACGTAGAGCCCCTCCAGCACGAGAGGAGGATGAGGGACGGAGCGCAGGGCGGGAAGAAGCAACGCCCAGGCTCTGGACAGCAGGTATTGAAGGAGCACAGTATCAGAGTAAAAGGGTCCCTGGCAGAAAAAGAAGGGCCCTAACTGATGCCATCAGGAAGAAAGGTTTGACATTGCTTAGAGTCAGGAGGGAAAGGTGTGACTTTTTATTTTCCTTTCCAGCTCGAAGTAAGCAAAGATGGGCTGAAGTATAGTACCACATCAGGAAGATGTGCAAGGATTTCTTTCTTCTTTATTTTTTTCTTTCTCTCCTTTACAGAAAAGGCCACAGATGGCTCTCTGCAGAGTGAAGACTGGACACTTAACATGGAGATCTGTGACATTATCAATGAGACAGAAGAAGGGTATGTGCTATTTCAGCAGACTCTGAAAGGTTCATGAGCACCTTCATCTGGCCAGCTGCTCTCAGCATGTGAGGAGGCGCCACGAGTCTGGGGGGCAGGTGCTTGTAATTTAAATGCAGTTTACATAGTGCATGCAGGCTGCTCGCTTTTCCTGCTCCTAACGCATTCTAGAAAAAAAATGCTGTTTGATGCATCATTTTCTGTGGTAGGTCTGTGGTTGATATGAAAAACATGTGCTAAGCATCCTGTTCAAGGGGGTGCCAAGTCTCTACTTCTAGGGTTCTTGTTTTTGGCAGGTGTATGTCTTCCCAGTGCTGCAATGTTATTCGTTTCAGGTAATAGAGAGCTTCTCTGATGCACCTCCTGCTTCAGCATCGGAAAAGCTCTGCTGCTTGCAGTTTGCAGGAGAACTGATCACTGCTGTTATGCCCTGGGCCTTTTTCTGAGTGACTGTCAATCTTTCCTGCTTGATCAACATCCTGCCATTTCAGAGGCCTCAGGCATTGCTCTGGCCTTGACTCCTATGATATCTTGTCTTCTCACATAATTCTACACGACCTAGTCTGGTCGTTGTCAAGTTATCTGAAGTTAACACACATGCTTCTGTCCAGCTGGAAACAGTAATGTAGGATTTACCTTTTCCTGCAGTCTGACATGTGAAAAGAGTGTCTGAACTGACTTTTTAAAATGGTCTCTTTCTCCTTCAGCCCAAAGGATGCCATTCGAGCACTGAAGAAGAGGCTGAATGGAAACAAAAATTACAGAGAGGTCATGCTGGCTCTGACGGTGAGTGGGGGCAGGCTGGAATGTCTCAAAAGGGCAGATCCCTTTTCTTATGTCATTGCCCTTTCCTGGCACTCTCTTGTGTGTACACACTCTTTGCTTTAACAGCCACTGCTCTCTCCTTTTCTTCTCTCCAGTTGCCTCCTCACTTCCTTGGGAGAATTGCTGGAAGCTTTTCATAGCATTGTGATGACCAGATTATTTTTTAATTTCTGAGGGGGCTCTTATCCATCCCGAGTACTGACTTAAGGAAAGGCAAATTAGCCCAAATGGGATTGTGTACCCTGGGGGGCCTTCCCCCCTACTCTCATCTACCTGTACCCAGATGTTTCTCCACTCCAAGGCAGCAGCTGCAGACTTACCTCCGAGTGAGGATGATGAACTTGCCATAGTTTTAGCTTCATAGGTAACTGCTGCACAATTTCCCTTGTGAATGGCTCTATGTAGGAGACTCGTATTAATTTATGCTGATCTAATTTCACCCAGCAAAGCCTCAATTATACTCCGTGCATTCATGCAGCTCTGCTGGGGTGTGAGATAATTTGCAAGTGACCTTTCCTACCGCTGACTTTAGCGAGGGCTTTCCTGGGTAATGCAGCACTCCAGAGAACAGGGGCCGGGCAGGCTCTGCGCTGCAGCAGTGAGGGATGAGCTACATGGAGTGACACAGCTCTGGGCAGGGGATCTGTGTGATTCTTCCAGAGAGCCCTTGTTGCATCTCCCTGATGAAGCGTGACTCTACTTTCTGTCTTACTGCCATTTCTTATCCTGGATTGTCATTTTGACAGATTACCAGGGACCAAACCATGAGATTATCCGTTGTTCAAGAAAAAGGGGAATTCATCAGGAATGAGTCCGTGTCATCATGGCCGATGAAAGTAGCTGGAGTAGGAGAGTAATTACAAACTCCTCAGATGCAGAACTTCAGTGGTTATTAGGCATGGCTGCAAGGAGAAGTGACGCATTAGATTTATCTCCATGCTAATCATGTTCTTCAGAGAAAAATCAACAGCTGCTCTTCCATGGCAATTGAATGGCAAGTGGAAGGTGCCTCCAGCAAGGTTGCAGGGGAAAAATGTGTCAAAGTATAACCTGTCAGAGCATTCACAAGGGAGTGTTTTGAGTGAATGATGATCATTCACCTGCGTTCCCAGCTCTAAAACAGGGCTTGTAGCTCAGAGCAACCTGGTCCAGCTGTGTTCTAGGTATATAGGAAATTGTGGAAAGCTCCAACTTGACGCTTTCTCCCTGTGACTGGAGGTCCTCTCTCTTATGTGCTCATGATGTGGTGCTCTGTGTATTTAGCTGTTCAGCTGCACAGGTTGGGAAGTTCTGCTTTGAAGAGCAAATTTGTATTGCTTTGCCTTGAAAACAGGCACAGGTAGATCACACAAGTGCCCCATTTATTACTGGTTTATGAGGTACATCAAAATATATGTGTATAGAGAAGGGGTGTATCTGATAACACTGGGAAAGAAAGGAAGAAGAATTGAGAGTGTAAGACAAAGTTCTCCTCTGTCTTCTCTCCCTCTCAGCAGATTTCTAGCAAAAACCAAAATCAGAAACCAGCTGCCTGGGCTCCGTGTGTGCGATCAAGCTTTGCTCCAACAATGGCTGTTTTTCTGTGTGTGTGTAGGTGTTGGAGACCTGTGTGAAGAACTGTGGCCATCGCTTTCATGTCTTAGTGGCAAACCGTGACTTCATAGATGGTGTTCTGGTGAAAATCATCTCGCCCAAGAACAACCCCCCCACCATTGTACAGGATAAAGTTCTAGCACTGATTCAGGTACACAGCTTGTCTCTGCTTCCATATGTTGCTGTCTGAAAGAAGGACTGTCTGCTTCAATGCTACACATCGCTAAACACACTGTCATCATTGAAAAATGTAGCGGGTTTTTAATATGCAAAACCAAACAGTATATCCACATTGGTAGGGAAGAGCAGGCGTGCACAGGCACGGTAGTTTTATCCAGGGAGAAACGTCTGGATTCTAGTTAAGATGGGTATCGCTTTGCTAAAGCAGAGGGCTTTTCAAAAGATTAATGGATGGCTTTGCAGTTTGACTGTCAAATCTAGAAGCTGGAGACCTGCTCTCTTTGCAGCTCTGTGACGGGCTTGTCATTCGAGGCCAGGAACGTTTGAGAGGAGCTTTCACTGTCAACTGAAAAACTCCTCTCTGCCAACTGAAAAACCTCTCTGTCTGTTTCTTTGACTGTAAAATGGAGCCGTTTCCCTCCTTTCCAAAGTATTCAGAGTTCCCCTTAAAGAAAAGGGTCACATAGGAGTTTAAAAGTTTTTGATGTCCCTTCTGTGGTTATTCTGCAGTGAAAGTGCCCTGTCAGATGCTCATCTGCAGTGGGGAAGTGCAGACCGGGGCCTGTGTAGCATTTTTTCCTTCTGTGCAGCATAACAATAAACACGACGTTAGCTCCACAAACCATTAGCAACACACGAGGAAACATTGGTGCTGCCTGGAGGAAATCTGGCAATTATAGGAAGCTTTATCACTAAGCCCCTACCAGGCTGTTGCATACATCAGAGACTGAAAACACTGCATAGTTAAAATTATATAAACCTGCTGCAGTGTTTCTAGTGGGAGGGTGTTTACAAGTGTGTGATGTAACTTGCAAAATATATTTCTTATTTTTGCGGCAAAGCATGCATTTGAATTTCTAGTTGTCTATTTGTTACATGAATACATTGTTAAAGCATAACAGTGCAAATAAGTGATTCCTGAACAGGAAATAGGCTGGGTGGGAACCTAGGTGGGCAACTCATGTGAGGCCTTTTTATTCCTGATCTCTGATCTCTAGGCATGATTTTAAAAATAACACAATGTTAACAAAATTATTCAATGTAATTCTTGTGCATTGGAGTGAGCCCATGGGTGTCTGTCTGCTTGGGTGGGAGAGCAGGGTCAGTGCGATGACAGGGTATGATGTCCCATAAAGAGAGATTGTGTATTTTCATACTGTTTGCTTTGCTCCAGTGTTTTAGAGGATGTTGGATATGCTGAAACCTGGACTTAAGTGGATTCCCAAGCATTAATGGAACTAAAATGGAACAGTGTTTGTAACATGACCAAAAAGCCACAGTCATTGCCCCAGTGTATTTAAACAGAGCTTTATCTGAATAGACTTCATGCAGCAGAGCTAAAAGCCTCATTTTGTTTGGGTACTAAATGCCTTTTGGTATAAACAGTCTGGGAATTACGAAAGTTGCCCGTGGGTGGGTTCCTTCGGTGTCTCGTTAGCTGGAGGTGGTAGGGACTTTGCTTTCCAGATTGCCTGACGAGTTGGGAAAAGTGATTGCAGTCACTCATCGTGTGCCCTATGGACACGCACACCCAGAATATCCCATGTGTCGTGACCGCTGTGCTCAGCTCAGGCTCTGCTTTTAGAGCTCCCTGCAATTGGAGTTAACTCTGTTCCGGAGGGCTGATCTCTTCTCAGCTCTGCTCCACTAACATTAGCTTACATTGATCCTCTTCTGTAGGCTTTTTACAATTTGATACCAGAGAATTAATAAGTACAGAAATGAGAGGATTAATAGCACAAACTTAGAAACAGGGAAAAAAGGCTGTTCAAACAGCATCTGTTTTGAGCCATATAGCTCTTGCACTCCTGGGACTTCCCATAGCAAGGGTGGATAAACTTCTGTGCAATTTCTTATTTAGAGGCTTGACTGTTTTGAGATGTTGGACATCTCACTTTCTCAAGCCATTTCCCAGTATACAGGAATTAGCAATATCGTGCATATGAGCTATCCTTGCTCCTTCACCTTGCTCAGAGCCTTGCAGATCCGCTCACTGCTGCGCCCCTGGCAGGAGCCTGCCGGAATATCCTCCGCGTTCGTGCCCCTTTCCTGCCCAGCAGCTGAGCACTGTCAGCAAAGATGAAGCATGGGCAGATTTTTAGTGGCATGCCAAATTCTTTGAGGGTACATGTGTTAAAAAGTGTCTGACACTGGAAAAAATATATCCTGTGGTGGTCACTGGGGGGTTTGGGGGGCCGATTTGTAATGATATTTAGTTAACCTGTTCGCAGGCTGAAGTGCCGAGTGGGATTTATACATGAGCATCTTTTACCATCTACTTTTGATAGTCTTGCCTAAGGATTTAGATCTGGGCTTAGTCTAAGCTGTGTCCCGTGCTTCTTTGGATAATGGGAAGTCTCCTAAGCTCTCCGTGCAGCATCACAATGGTCGATGCAAATAATTTATTCTAAAAAAGTTGAGAAGCAAACCCAGAATTCTTAGCCTGCAACTAATGGGTTGTATTCTAGGCACACAGGACAGGAAATGCTGTCCCCTCAAACTGAACAGAGTAGGAGTATAAGTCTAAATATTAATTATTTCTTATTTTGTTTAACTCTCCTTAGTTTCCTTCCTCTCAAACGTTGAAAGGTGGTTAAAGATAGCTTTTAAAGTAAAACTAGTCAAAGAAATAGTCTGAAAGTGATGATTAAATGAATTAAGTTCAGAGCCCACACACACTTCTCTCAATAGTTCTCTGACACAGTAATAATCCAATTCGCATGTGTGGGGGTTTGGAGAGGATATTTTGTTTTTAACTGAGTCATAATATTTCAGTTTTTCCTTCTCTTAAATTTTTAATTCCTTGGCTAATTTCCAGCAAAAGTGACAGGCAGTAGCAGCTTTCAAGACACTCTGTTCCTAGAAGCTTCATGAGCACAGGAGGCTGGCAAGAGAAGGGAAACACTTAGTACTGCCACTGAGGGGAAAACTCAAGTGTGGACAGACTGAAGTCTTTTCAGACACCAGCGAATTCATGCAGGAGAGATATTATGAGTGTTCTGGCTGTGGGAAATTCTCTTTTTAAACTTGTTCTTGCTGTCACACCAGGGGTCCAAATGTTGGATATGCTCTGTAAGAATCCAGGCTTCATTAGTTCTGCTGCTCATGGGACTGCATGTTTCAAAATATAAGAACCTCACAAACTGCCCCTTTAAATTTAAGTTTGGTCCAAATAAAATACTGAAGAGAGCTTGGCCCCTTTGATTTTTTCTTCAGCAATAAATGAGTATGTTTCATAGAATAAATGAAGACTACCTAAGATTGTTGCATGACCTTTTGAATTTTGCTGAGATCAGTTGAATCTTTCAAACGAACATTTTTGTTTTCCCATGGGTTTGTTGGCCACAGAATCTGCATGAAAAAATCAGCATGCAATCAGTGCTAGGTAAAAGAGGTAGGAACCTTAACTTGCAGTTACAGATGCTGATGCTGCCAGGGCTGTACAAAGCTCATCTATTTTATATTCATATCAAGTGTGCATGTGATTGTCTTAATATTTGGAGGATCTTTTAAACCAGATCTCATGGTTACAGCTTCCCTTTGAGGCTGAAACACATGAAAGCCTTTGTAGTTAGTATCTGAGAACAGGATGGAGCAGGAACTTCTTCTGGAAGGTTTATGGATAATCAATCCCTCATGTTTTCCAGGCTTGGGCTGATGCTTTTCGAAGTAGCCCTGATTTAACCGGAGTAGTGCATATTTATGAAGAACTCAAGAGGAAAGGCATAGAGTTTCCCATGGCAGATCTCGATGCTCTGTCTCCAATACACACGCCACAGAGGGTAAGCCGCAGCTTTGCAATTTCAGTAGCATTTTCCAGACATGTAAATAGTTAGGTAAACACTCCTTCTCCTGCTCTTCCTCCAAGTTTGACTTGTTAAACTTGCACAGAACTTTCTTAGTCCTAGTGGGACTTTTTAATAGTGAAAGAAAATGGAGGAAAGGCAAAATGCAGCTGCATTTGACAGGCTGGTGAGCTAATGGATTCTCCCCTCTCGAGTCAAGAATCAATTTGAAAAGAGCAGAGACTTTGGAGGAGGTTTGTACCTTTGTCTTGTGTTGCAAAACCACCAGACAAATGCATCTAATTTGCTCAGGAAGAGTCCAGCAGGATATGTTATTGAGGATTGCTTCTTTTTCCTGGGAGTGTAGTGGGTCCTTTTAGCATAGTTCTGAGTAGAGACCTGCCTGTCTCTTAAAGGTGTGTAGAATCTGAATCTCCCACTGATCCTGTGATAACAGGAGGTATTTCACTCCTTTGAAAAGACGGGGCTGTAAAGCTGACAAAACTGGTGTTTGAAAGTACTTTAATGATCACAGGTGTTCCAATTATTCACTCTGAGAATTCAAGTTAATGAAGTTTTGAAGTGGTAAATACAAGTGATCAAAGACTGAAAGATTACAATTCTTGTGTCAAGATTAATTAAATCCAGTGTTTATGTATCACATCATGTTTTTTGGTAAGCGTGCAACCCAATTCCTGGTTTAAAATTGTTTATAATTACTTATGCTTGGCTCCAGTCTTTATTTTGCTTCTTACTTTTCCTGTAAAGGTAATTTGCCTTAAACACATGTGGGCTGGTTTGGAAGATAAGGGCATGTATTGTCGTAGTGCTGTGTTTATGGGCTGGCCTGCCAGTCTGTTCTTGTAACTACATTGACCTTTTCCATGAGGTGCAATTACATTCTATATTTGAACATATTTGGCCTGAGGTTGCTGACAAAGCAAGTGCTGTCACCATTCAGCTTTTGAGCTCCTGTCTTTCTGATGTGACAGAGTGTTCCTGAAGTTGATCCTGCAGCAAATATGCACAATTCACAGTCCCAGCAGAGGATGAGCACCAGTTCTTACTCTTCACCTTCTCCAACAGCATATTCTGCTCCTCAGGCCCCAGCTCTGAACGTGACTGGTCCCATCACTGCTAATTCTGAACAGGTACTGGGGTGATTCTTTCAGTAAATCAACTTAGAAACCAGTTTTCAGAGGAACTTCAGATTTATCTCTTCTGGCACTGGATGTGCCTTAGGTCTGGTTCTGCTTAGTAATCTCCTATTTTACTGTAAAATCTAGCTTTTAGATTTGTATGTATGGCCTAATGACAACACTTTTGAAACTTCACAATCTGGTACATTAATGCACCTGGCAGTTGCACAGCAGGTAAAGAGTTATTCCACTTATTTCTAACGAGTTAAGCTTGTATGTCCAAGCAAACATGTTAATATTGGATCTTATTTTCTCTATGCAAAAATAATTTCAGAGTCAAAAGATCCTATTCAAAAGTTCTTTTTGTCTGTGTGGGACACACAAGGTGGACTGAACTGAGGTCTGTTTTACATTGCTATTTTCAGTTGCTTCCACTTCCATACGAGCATAGCACATCTCTCTCTGCCATGGTGATGAACAGTTCTACATAGCTCTTTCTTTTTCTGTTGCTTTTTCTAAAATTCTCTCCTGGCTAAACCTTTTACCCATTTTAATTTTTGCACTGGCATATCTGGAGCTTCACATATCAAGTCAGACAGAACCAGAAGTATCATTAAGCCCGTTCAAGAAAACGATCTGCTTAAAGGCAAAAAACAAAAGAGCATTTTGGTGTCTTTTTTTTATACCAATTTAGATTGCCCGGCTGCGCAGCGAGCTGGATATTGTTCGTGGGAATACCAAAGTGATGTCTGAAATGCTGACAGAAATGGTTCCTGGACAAGAAGATTCTTCAGATCTTGAATTACTCCAGGTAATGATTTCTTAACAAATCTGATTCTGATGCTTTCTGTGCTTGAGTCTTGGGAGTTTTTAGTTTTTGCTGTAGTTCAGTTCCTTGAATTTTAGATAGCGCACGTGGACTATACTTGACCTGCTTAGTCCCATCATTTGGTGGTCTTTCTGCTTGCTGGATGCTTTTACATATTAGCTGCATAACTGGCTGCATTCACAGCCACTTACGTGAAACTGCTGCAATGCTCTTAGTCCAGTTTTGTGGTCTGCTTAAACTCTTGCTAACTGCTTGGGATAAAACCTAAGATGTTAGATCTGCAGTGAGAACTGAGGTTGTCTTTAGCTCAGTGGACATTAGGACCAGGGGGCTGGTACGGGACATTTAATGCAACTTTACCTTGCTTCACTGAGACACAATGAAGTTCATCAAGTCCATTTTTCATTTAAATGTGATGTTTATTTTTAAGGTTAAAAAAAAAAAAACACCTTTTTAAAGCTGTGGCAGGGTAAGGATTCCAGGACTTCCTTTTTAAGCTTTCTTGTCCAAGTAAGCAGATTTTTTTCCAGTGTTGACTCCAGTCCAGAGAGTCAGACTGCAGAATCAGACTTTTCTCTCCTGAAAAGTCTTAATTTAGTGATGCATTTTTTATCCCAAAAGAGGTGACTTCATTAGTTGAGCTCATATCTTGGACTTCATTTCTGATAGGCCAGTGATAGATGGAGATGCCACTGGCCAAAGAAAGGATCTATACCAAATATAAAATGGATGAGGAATACTAGTGTGCCAGCTGCTGCCCTTACCTTTTTATTTGTCTTTCCATAGCTTCAGAAATAGGTTTCTGTGCTGATCATCCAGTAGGAAGTATAGGCTCCCACAGCACTACACTTGGAGGAAGGCAGGGAATTGCGCTCTGCGATGCATCAGGTTTTGAAATCAATCCAAAAATTAGTCTGTCCCATGCAGCAGCATTGTGCCTTCCAGAGCCATCGTGGTAGCTGATGAGAGGCTTTGCAAGAAAGAGCCTTTCAGTTGCTGCCCATTTGGGTTGGACTGATTGAAGCAGAAGAAGCTTCCAGGAAACCAAGTTGGACCAAAACAGTGCAGAACAATTCGCTTGCATTGAGAAATGACCATGAACATCTTGACAGCATAACCTTACAGCATAGCTTTCAGGTGGAAGGACTTGACCATGAAGTGAAGTGACAGCATCAATCCTTTATTCCAACTCATTCCCTTCTTTGGCTGCTGCATCCTAAATCTGGATCACAGTGTTGGGGAGAACCCATTTTTAATGCCAAAGGATGGTTAGCCTTTTTTGAAAGCTGTGAGCTGCATACTTGTATGCAAGAACTCCTTGCTTAGAGGTTTGTATAGCCATCCTCCTTAAATAATTCCTGACATTTTCCCCAACAATCAAATGTAAACAGCTTGCTAGAGAGCCAACTCTGAGCAGAATAGATAGGTACTGTCAGCCCTCTCGGAATGGCAGCAAACAAACCTCTGAAATGTCACAATCTGCTTCTAAAGTGATGGGATCAAAACTGACATTGGAGAACACATTCCTCAAGCTGTTAAGGCAGCTGGATTGCACTAGGTGAAATTTATCCAGAGCTTAGGATGTCAGACCAAGCAAGGAAAACAAACACATTTTTGCCTTCATCCCGAAGGTTGTGTACCAACAAGTCATCCCAGTTTAGTGCGGAATTTTTGCTCTGAAGTGGAGCTAGGGGGTGGAAGATGACAGAGGGACATGCTTTAGATGAAATGTCAGTGCTTACTGAAGTAGAACTGTGGGCCTAATCAGGCGCTGTGCCGTATGTCACGTTTCTCCTTGTAGTGCCTCCCCAACATACCAGTTTCGACCTTTGGTCTTGAGGCCTTTCAGACCAACAGGAATGAGGAATTCCACCAAATAATGATGATGGAAGAGATGTCCTGGAAGTACAAGAACTCCTTATTTAGACAACCTAAGCCCACATTTCTTGACATGAGAAACTTCTAAAATAAATCCCCATCTTTTGTATTCTTTAAGGTTTTCTTCTGATACCCCCACTGCCTTTTTGCAGTGCCTTATCTGTGGACTTACTGCACTGAAGGGAGCATTTCTGTGTATAGTTCACTACTGAACTGGGAGTGCTCATTCTTACCCTGTTGCATGTTCACCCTCATCTTCTCGGTAGTTGGTAACATTGATGTTCCCAATCCATCTCCTCCTGGTGTCTAGCACATACTTGGCTGCCCATGGTCACCCTGGTCAACTTTCCTTTCTTGCCTTTCCCACAACGGGCATCTTTTCATTTTAAGGATGGTTACAGGTTGATTTTTCTTCTTGAAAACTCTCTTCTGTAAAGCTGTTGTATTAACAGGTTTACAAGTGACTAAAATACAGATATTTATTTTTGAAGTGCTCACAATTAGCATAAAATTAGGACTTTCAGTTGTAAAAAGGCACTTAAGGTTTTAGGCCAACACCTCTTGAAGGGCATGTTTGATTAGATGTGCTTTTGGGTGACATTTAATCATCCAAAGATAGACCTGTCTTAGTGTTTCTCAGCTGGGGGACACGTTTGGCTGTGAACAGAGCTGAGCTAAATCTACTGAGCTAAATCTACTTATTGCTAGCTGCTTATCATGTATGCACACAATGTATTTTTCCTAGGAGCTGAACCGAACCTGTAGAGCGATGCAGCAGAGAATTGTGGAGCTTATCTCACGAGTGTCCAATGAAGAGGTCACAGAGGAACTGCTGCACGTGAATGATGATTTAAATAACGTCTTCCTCAGATATGAAAGGTGGGACACCTGTTAACATCAACTAGTTATACTTGTGCTGGGTTTTCACATAAGTGTAGAAAACATCAGCTGGCAGAATCGGCCATCTGGGCCAACAGTCCAACATAACAAAATGTAGAGCAGCCAAACCACAGAAGCATTTGTGAAGTCTTCATGTGGTGTCTTACAGTAAATTTAAAGTTTCGGTTTTAATACTAAGATTTCTTTTTGTCATAGCCACTAAATTTTGTCGGGCATGTAAAATGCAGAGCACTGTTGTGAAAAACTCTGTGAACTGGCTGAGAGCTGAGTCTGTGAGCCCACCTTGTGAGTGCCTGAGCCCGAGAGCAGTGTAGCTGCAGTTGTCCAGCTCTGCTTTCTTGTTCAGGCTCTGCACAAATGTTCATGCTGCTTCCTGGCGTGGGGAGGCTCCTCTGAGCTCTCTGTCCTCTGATCTCCGAGGTTTCCGGTTCCAGCACTGGTGCAAGGGGAGCTGGCTGAGGAGGCCATGACCTTAGTATGCAGAAGGGTTTTGTTTTTAAGTAACATTTACAACCCTGGAGAAGTCTAGCAGAGCTGAGACTTTGCAGAGCTGGTCTGTGGGGATCGTCCCCGGGGCGGGACTTGGGTCACAGGACGTTGACAAAGGCTCTGTCAGCCACATCTGCTGCAGCAGGTGACACGTGATGCAGCAGCCTTGGGAAAGTTTAATCTTCTCCTTAATGACAGGCCTGGGGAGTGAAGCACTAAGGAGCACCCTTTGTTCCTTGCTATTGGCACAGGGCTTTGTTTCTAAAGCCCTTGAAAAATAAATTAGACCCCAGATCTCTGAATCTGGGCTGTCACTGCAGAGGCTGGGGAGAAGACTCAGTGGCCTCAATTTCATTTTTGATTTGGTCCTTCAGAGACCATTGGGGCAAACTTTGTAACAAATGCTGACCTGCCGTATGAAACGGTAGGTCCCATGCAAGAGTGTGATTCTACACGGTGCAGAGGGAATCTGTCCCTGAGGCTCTGCCTGGTCACCCTTAATAGTTTTTCTCCCCTTCCCTTCATCTGCAACTTTTGCTCACAGGGGCTAATATATATCTAAGCCTTATACACTTAAAGATGAACTTGAACAATATCAGCAGGCTTAGTTTTGTGGAATAGCTGTGCTGCTCTGAGTGCTTCAATAAATTCCGATTCCTCCTCCCTTATTCCTTGAGTTCATCACGCTTGTTTCTAGCACATCTACCAAACCATCAGCCTTCTGGCGAGATACATGAGGTGGGAGATGTGTAATGTTTCCAGCTAGGAGAGCTGGATTTCCAGTAGTACTAGACACCCACAATTTTCTAAATTGAAATTTGGGCTTGAATTTATTTTTGCAGCCTTTTAAATCTGCAGTTTCCTCTGTTAATTTAAGAAAAAAAAAATGCTTGAAATTCCCTAATGTATTTTGTCCAACTGGAGAAAACTCACAGAATAATATGAATACTTTGTTTGTATACTGAATAGAGAACTTAAATATGAGACTAGTTTTACATGAGGAAAAGTTCTAACTTAGAGAAGTTGTGATGCCTCTGACAGGCCTTTGAAGGAAGTAGCTCCCCATGCTTTTTTGAGTTCATAAAAGCTGAGTTTAGGTTTGGGGCCCAGATGCACGACTGATTGGGGAAGAAATAGAGAAGATACCAGATCTTGACTAGCCAGGCCTCTTCCACTAAGAAGTGTGGAATTTTAGTCTAACATCATTAGTTTTGGTACTTGGAAAATACCGGTCTATTTGGACTTGGGCTTTTACCATCTCTGAGCTGACCTAGGGTATTTTAAGAGATGCATTTGCTAAGTATTGTTTCTCTTGCCAGGTGTTGCCTGTGCTCGTGTGCATATGGCTTCTAATTTACATTTATTGCAGCAAGAGGGAGCTGTTAAGTGGGAGTCAGACTCACTGCGGTGCCCGGCTTCTCCAGCTGGGATATCCTTCCTGCCGCAGTTCCTCCCGTACCTTGGCTAACAGGATAGGCAATCAAGAAGCACTTAATGGAAAAAATACAAACCCAACAATATTTTTTGTGCTGCATTATCAGCCTAATACCACTGTAGCCAAAAAGCAACTTCTGTAACACTATCCTTCCTTCATACTACCTTGGAATTAAAGCTTTTAAGGTTCCCTGTTGAACCAAGGAAAGGTAAGTTCAGTGACAAGCATCACAGGACTTTGTTATAAACCTGGATTTTTCCTTGTTGATTGGTTCCCTTGTCAGTGATGATTTTTTTTTTAATATCTATACTTTTCAACAGATTTGAACGATACAGGTCAGGACGTTCAACACAAAATGCCAGCAATGGAGTAAGTGCCTAACTCTGTTATTATATCAGCAGTTACACCCACAGCTTCTCAGAAGTTATACTGTGCTGGGTCAGTTAATGTCTGTCCAGCACCATAACCTGTCTCTAGTGGCTTATAGTAGATACATAGCACATATATATAGAGATAGATAGATAGACGTGTGTGTGTGTCTACAGATGCACATTGCATATATCTGTGTGTCTCTGTGTAATATTTTGTTTACATTTGAAAAAGCCATTTAATGATTTTGTTTGATTCCCCCTTGTTCACTGCATCTTAGAATACAGTAGTTCAGATTTATGTTCTCCATGCCATTCATAATTTTAGGGATTTCTGTCATCTCCTTTTTCAGTAGACCCTTTCCAGGCTGAAGTGTTACAGTTCTAGTTGTTCCTTCTGTGAAGACTATTTTATGCTTTGATCTTCTGTCAGCCTTCATTGAATCTTCTTTTTTATTTTATTTTTTTAAGTTCCTTCTCCTCCTTGTCAAGGAGAAGAATAGAGACAAGCAGAGTTTTTGCGAGCTGAGTGTGTGATGAATTCATACATGGCACTATGATATTTTCTATTCTACTCTCTTCTCCCAGTTTTGTGTTTCCTTTCCCTGAGTGCCACTGCTGCTGCAGTGTGATGCAGACTTCAGCACGGGCTCCACGTTATAACTTTAATCACAACAAAAAAAAGTTTTGTTTCCGAAAACAGTTTATATCTAATGTGGAAGATGGTAGCAAATTAAATTTAAGTCTGATATTGATCCAGTGCTGAAAGAGGTGCAAAACTGGAGACATATTATCCAGATCTGGAGAGATGTAGATAACATTGAGGAGAGTTCCACTGTTGTGCTGAGTGGTTGAACTGAGCTAGCTGTGGAACCCATTAGGTTTCTTAGAGGCTCACCCAAAAGGACAATATATCTTTATTCTGCACTCAGCTGTCTATGATCTAAGTGACTAGGCCATTTGGCATTTTGCAAAGAGATGTTTTTTAGGAAGCACCCGTTATCTTTTGGTATTGCAGATTGCACTGCAGGAAGAAGGCTCCAACATGCACAACGAGCTGTGTTTTCTGTTTCCCAACAGGTCCTGAATGAAGTGACAGAAGATAACTTAATAGATTTGGGTCCTGGCTCTCCAGCTGTAGTGAGCCCAATGGTTGGAAACTCAGCACCCCCATCTTCACTTTCTTCACAGCTCGCAGGGCTTGGTGAGTACTTGCTATATGTAGAACTCCCCATGAAATTGGCTTGGTTAATGCCCTCATAGTTCCCACCTCTTTCAGCACTGCACCCATATCAGATCGTTTAATTTGAGGCTGTTGCTTTTACAGTCAATAGCTGGAAGATACTGGTATGGAGAAGACTAGAATCTATTCCCAAAATTTTGGACCGTGTTAGTGACTAGTAAATATTTGAGGATGAAACTGGCAGCAGATGAACACCAGTTTCCAGGTGTTGACTTCTTGGTCAGAAATACTTATGGGGTGATGGTTAGCAGCTAGTCACCTTTTGGGGGGCAAAGGTGGAGAATTGTTCATATGTGATGCTCAGTGCAACATAAGTCTTAACTAGATGCTGTCTATATCTATCCTGTAATGTTAATAACTTCTTGTTTAACCTGTACAGTTATGACAGTGGTGCTTGTGTATGGTTTGCTGTTTCACTGGACCCCTTCTTTTGCCTCTCTTTGCAGACTTGGGGACAAACAGCGTCAGTGGCACGCTCAGCTCTCTACCCCACTGTAATCCCCGCGATGACTTTGACATGTTTGCACAGACAAGAGGCAGCTCCTTGGCTGAGCAGAGAAAGAAGTAGGTTGGATTTGTCCCTCGTGCTGTTTGGGTCATGGCATTACCATTTTATAGGGGCATCAACCTGAGATTTCTTTACTTCATTCCAGACTAAAAAGTTGTTTTGATGTATGTTTTTGTGCTTTTAATTTAGGCCTTGTGCTGTTGGGCTTTATTAGCATGAGCCAGCAGGGAAGTTCTTGCCACGTTCGGGCTGACTGGCTGAGTAATTTCACTTGACTTTCTTGGTTAATGAGCTGACTGGAAACTCGGCAATGAACTTGCTTTAATTTCTGCAGATGCTTCCTTTCAAAAAGGCATGTATTCCCATCTGCCTAGTCAGTGCCTGAGATATAGGAGAAAAATAGGCCTTCACCTGAAGGTCATGGATATAGTTCTTTGGTGACTGAATTACTGTCATCAAGGGTTTGGGAATGGAATTACCATCCAGTGGAACTCTCCCTGCGGCCCAGCTGTGAGGCTCTCGAGCTGTGAAGGCAGTGTAGCTTGTCCAACTGCCACGCTCTCCCTAATTTGTTTATATGTGTAGGGCTTGAGTCTCTAGAGCTGCGAATCTGGCACTTTCAAGGGCATTAAATAGATCCAATTATTTTAATGGAAAATAAATCCAGGCTCGTATTTAGAAATCCTTTGATCTCCCTCAAGTGAGACTCATTAAAAAGACACTCTCAGGTATTTTTCATATATTATTTCTTGCCTCCTGGTTTCAAATTCAAGAGGATGTAGTGGCTACCAGCAATCAGAGCACTCTCAATATCTTGTCTCAAACAAGAGATGTTGAGTAGTTTAGCATAGACCTTAGCAGATTATCAAAAATTTACCAGCCTTGTGCAGAGATCAGCTCTGAAAAGCTTCGCCCAGCATGTCAATTAGGACCTTTAGTTTGCAACCATCAATACAGCAGTTTGTGCTGCCTCAGCTGTAATATCAGCGTTGAGAAGACGTGCTGTCGTGTAGAGGGGAACGTTACCACTGGAGACTTCGGTCTGAGAGCCCTAAGGTATAGCCAGAAAGGAGATGCGTCGAGGAGGGATCTAATGGAGGTCCCTCTGCCTCTTGTGCTAAATGAAGCACAAAACTAGTCTTCCCACGCCGCTCCTCTATCCCCTTCCGCGAGCCAACAGAACACGGAGCACACATCAGCCCATCGTTTCACAAGGGAGAATTGCTCCATATTCCATGGATTGTGCACACTGTAAGTGGAGCAACAGCAGGGCAGTCAGGGCGTGAGTGTGACTTGCTGCCAGGTAAGAGCCTCTGGATGCTGTGCCCAGAGTTTGGGAGAAGCCAGCAGCCTGGAAGTGAAGAACTCCCCTCCTGCCCAACATGCAGCTCCTCCCAAGGCTGATGTATGGGCAGCTGCTGGCATCTGCTTCAGCTGATGGTTCACTGCTGTGTTCAGAGGAAAAATGCTGCTGTTGCCTCTGTCACCTGACTCCTTTATGTCCCTTTTCGTTAGCAATTTAAGAAGCTTTTTAAAAATCCAGCTTCTGTAAATAGACAGTGATTAACCAAGCGAGTGCACTTTTTTGGACCCTTCACTGTAGTTGCTTAGTTACGCTAGCTCATAGTTACTGTTTTCAAATCTCCCTCTGCCTCCTCCTCACACACATCAAGTTCAGGATTCCAGATGTCATCATCAAAGCTCTGCAAAACTTGATCTCTAATCAGGCCTCTTTCCATACTCCCCTGCTAGCTCTTGGACATACTAATGGTATCTCATAACCTATTTGCTCACCTCTCTGGTAATGCCAGTCTTACTTTTTTTTTCCTGTCTTTTTATAAATATGCTTTTTTATCATGTCTTAAATTGATGGACAATCTTTATGCAGAGCAACTCCTCTGTTTGGAATGCACTTAATGCACTCTAAGGCTTGTCAGCAGAAAAAAAAAAAAGACATACTTTCTGATTTCAAAAGGAGTAAATCAGAGCAGCACGTGTTTTCTGCATGGGTGATGGCTGAACTTTTGTCCAGTTCTGTGGTTTGTTCCTGTGTTTCAGCGTGACCTATGAGGATCCACAGGCTGTCAAAGGACTAGCGTCTGCCCTGGACGTTCGGAAACAGAACACAGGAGGGGTAGGTCATTGCTCTGCATTTTGTTATCTGAAGTTGCGTGTGGAATCCAAGCTGTAGACAGCTGTTTAGCTAAGATGACTTCTGTATTCAAGAGACATGTTGGTACTGGCTATTTTGAAACTATTATCTAGGAGCAAGTACTTGCTTGGTTATGATTTCTGAAGAGCTGCTGCCTAGCACACCAGCATAAAAGAGCTCAGAATCATAGTGGGTACATGCTCCTGCACTCCTGCAGCCTACCCAGGGGGTCTAGCTGTTTGGCTAGAGTCTTTACTAAAATGAAAAAGTAGTGAACAGCCTTTGAGCACTGGTGTGCATTTGTTTGGCTTGGTTTTGCTTATGAAAGTTGATACAGCTGTTACAAATCCACTAGACCTTGCTCTAAGTACATGGATGCGTGGGCAAGTTACTGCAAGAGAAATGATACAGGCTTTTAATGCTTCCCGTGCCTGGCCACAACTGCCCTTGTGTGCAGCATGTTCTTTCCCTGGGAAGGCTCCCTGTTACTTATTGTGGACGAAAGAGGCACCTGAGCAGTGACCTCGGAGCACATGACACCAGAAACCCAACGAAGAGGGAGAGCTTGGCCAGCTTTGCCTGCACACCTAGGAGATGGTAGGAGTGGAAGGAGTTTGCAGATCCTCCCCCACTCCCTTTTTATCACCCAGCTTTTAAAAATTCTCCTGTTCTTTTGTACTCATCTGTTGTAATCCATGCAAATATTTATGACTATATGAATATATGACTGAGCAGGTTCAGACCCTCCTCCTAGTCTAATTTTGCTCTCTAGTGACCACTAGGGAGCATGGGAGAGCCAGTGTGGGATGCACATTCCTCCTTCCATGGAGAATTGCCTCCCCATCCCTTGCTGCTCCCAGTCTGGTTCTTCCATAAGTTGCTCTGGGCAGCTGGCACGGAGAATGTGTGCGTGGGGCCAGCTGGGGTCACAGCACAGCTGCCTGCCCGCTCACTAACAACAGGGCATCAGCAATGATTTCTTAGGGAGTATCTCCTACCCCACCACTCTATCTGCTCAATCCTGTCCCTGGTATCCTGGAAAAAGGAGAATAAAGGAGGTAATTTGGGTAATTTGTAACCCCCGTCAGCTCTGGGACCAGTTTCCAAGATGGCCCCACAGATGCTCATGCCAACGCTCCTAAGGGAAGGGGAGGCTTGGAGAGGTGGGAGCAGAAGTGCATTAGGATGGTGAGACAGGAGCTGGTGAAGGCAGCATTGCAGCCCAGGGCCCCTGTATCCCGGAGCTGCTGCCCTGTGTTATTGGGAGGACCTTGGAAAGAGTTTGGGATGCTGCTCTTTGTTCCTAGCTAAGCAAAGCAAGCACTGAAAGGGCTCACATTCAGCTGCTGGTCAAGGGGGCTGTGTTCCCTCGGTGGCTTTGGGGTCATGTCCTTAGTTATTAACACTTCTGCTCTCAGCCAGTTCTGCTTGGGGCACCAGTGCGACGTGTCATTCACACCAGTGTAGCTGCTGCTCTGCCTGAGGTGTTGTCAGTTCAAAGGGCTGTGCCTAAACTAATCTGATGGGTCAAAGTATTTTGGAGCAGACACTTCATGGGTTGTGGAACTCCAAGATGTCCGTGCTCAGACTTTCAGCCTCTTTTCAAAGGTCCTGATGACTGTATTGTGTAGTCAGAAGAGCTTGTTTTGAAATGTAATCTCTCAGTAATTGGTAAATAATACTTCTTATCCAGTGTCGTGAGGCTCGTGGGTGTCTCTTCTTAAAGGAAATAAAGATTAAACTCTCCTAAAGTTACCAGCCCCAGCATGTGTGGGAAAAAAAAAATCTGGCACTGCTCAGTAAATGAAAGACATGCATTAATTTGGGTAGAGAGCTAATTTAAGAACAGCCCTAGGGAGGAGCCAGAAGCTTTGCAACACATTCTTCACACACTTCTTGTTCCAGCACAGTTGTCCAGTGGTAAAATTCAGCACATCCAACGTTTCTCATGCAGTCGTTCTCAGGAAGGTCTGCAGAGAGAAAGCTGGTCACGTGGCATGAGCTGTCTTTTAATGTGATTTAGCAGCTGGAAACAAGGCAAGCTAAAAATACATCTTTTTTTAATATTGCTTTTCCATGTTGGGAATTGCTTTTGTTGCGACAGAGAAGTTGCATGATCACAGCTGGGAGAAGAGGTGTCCAAGAAACAATTCTCCAACGTTACACAGATAGCAGATAAAGCTGGAGTGATCTCCTTTTTTTTTTTTTCCTCAGCACAAGCAGTGAAATGAGCCATAAGGCATCACAGCTGGTTCTCCAGTATCTGCTGTAACGGGGACAGGAGAGGTATCCTGCTTAGGTGGGTGTTTGGAGCGAGGAGCTTAGACACACAGCCCGGTTCTGGCTGGTGAGCTGGACCCGCCGAGCTCGGCCGGTGCCGACCAGGCCCCGCTGGAGCTACCAGCAAAGCCCTGGCCCGGGGGGTGGCACGAGGAACAAGAAACCCCCTTGAGAGCTCCCGTCACGGAAGCACAGAGAGACTGAGGCTGGAAGGGACACGTTGCCCAGGTCCAGGTTACTGTTAGAGTTTGAGGCAGAGTTTGGCTGTTGAGATCAAGCAGGTAAGTAAAGTACGCTGCAAATTACAGATTTATGAGGAAGGGAAATTCCACTGTGCCTTATAGTAGGGCTTCCAGTGAAGTCTGGCTGTTTTTACTAAGTTGTGCACTTACACTTTCTGTTCTTCTAAGAAGATGACAAACATTAGCCTCACTTCTTATCAGTATATATTTTTTTAATAACACTATGGAGGAAGTGCTAAAATTCTGTAAACTGTCTATACAAAGTGAAGTGGTCGGGGTGAAGCCTGTTTATCCATGGAGAGAGTCGAGAGGCAGCAAATGGGGATGTGGCTGTTGCCAGAAGCTACTCTGTGTGTCTGTGTGTGTGTCTGTGTGTGTTTGCAGTTCTTAACTTGCTGCTGTTCTATTACGTTTATCATGGGTGTTGCTGTGGTTTCTCTCTTTATGGACCTTTCTGTTCTCAACACAGAGGAGAGGTAAAGGTGGGAACTCAGACATGGAGCCCATAGACAAGTGGCTAATACACAAGGAATGGGGAGGATTTCACCAACAAAGCGAATCCTGCTGCCCACCCCAGTCCTTTTTACCTAGAATAACCATCCTGCATTCACCTCTCATCCCACCCTACTGAACCACCTCAAATCAGACAGTACAAGGAGTTTGTTTCCCCCTACATCATTACTTGGGACAAAGAGAAAGATTTATGCCAATCGCTGGTTACTGGTTTACAAAGCCCTCTAACCAAATGAATCATTTGCTGGAGTCCAGATCCTTCAGAACAAACCTGTGGATCCTGTTGTTTCCTTATACTGTCTTGATTTCCTTATGCAGTATCCACTTTTCGAGGGATAAACACAAGTCTCACGTATCTTATTCATAAAGAGGATACTTTCTAGGTGCCTTAAACCAGCCCCTTCTGGCAATGCATAACTTCATGGTCTAGAAGAAATGTGGAGGTTGTGGGATCATGGATTTAGTGGTGTTAAGTTGCTTCTGTATGAAAGGAAAAGGACGGGAGAACTCCTAGTGAGACTGACATCTCCCACCTCGGTTAGGGAATTATGCCAGCATTAGAATTCAGACTCCTGGAGGTATAATCGTGTTTCTGACTCTAAGGATTTAATTCCTATGCTGAGTGATGCCAGTGGTTTGGTTAAATTCAAGCTTTGGGAGATCACTGGGGTTTTTTGCACATTTTGACCTTGTTTGAAATTGTTGCTCAACAACATGCCTGCAGAGAAAAAATCAAAAGCTTGTCTCAAATGCAGAAGTCTGCAGGAGGTGGCAAATAGCCTGAAAACCAAGTTCTAGACCAGTTTTGTTTCCTGGGCTATAAAATAGATCATTTTAGGCGTTCGAAAAGAGTATCAGTAATGTGACTTACCTGTACAAAATCCTAAAAGTCCTTCCAAAAAGATGTTGGACTTATACAACATCTCTAAAAATGCAACATTTGTTAAAAAGAGAAAAGAAAGAAAAAAAAGGAAAAAAAAAAAAAAAGGTGCATTCCACAATCCTTTATGGCCTGGGGCGAATTTACAGTGTGAGAACTGGATGTCAGGAACTGTGGAATGGGAACACTGTTAGGGAGCACCTTGAAATTCCCAACCCAGATCTCCCAATACTTACAAAGAGAAACCTATCCCAAAGATAAGATTGAGAAAATGCAGAGTTTAGGATATCAGAGTGCACCAACTCTGTGAAACAACTTTCATTTATTCTTCTAGATTTAGATCTAACCCAGACGATTTCAGAGGCTCAGCCTGTGAGTCTCTTTGAAGAATATGCCTGCTGCATGCACAGTAATTGGATATGTGCATATATATGTATGCGTGTAGTCATACCTGCCTATTCCAGCACCCAAAGGCAGCTCTGTACCTGTTAGCACACGCAGGGAAATGCGGCTGCATTGGGAGCAAAAGTTTCATTTCGGCGTCTGCAGAGACCCACAGCTCATAACAAGGGAGTGGAAGAGCTGGAAGAGGAGCGGAGCCTCCTTCGCCTCTTCCGTGGCAGTGCTGCAGCCAGGGATGCACTGCACCGTGCTCGATGCTCATCCGTAATGAATAATCCAGTGATTGAGTTAGTTCCTCTGCTTTGCCTTTCCCCTGTTTACAAGAGCAGGGAAGCATGAAATTGGCACCCCTGCCGTTCGCACCATTCGCGCCGCTGCTTTATTAAAACAGCACAAACAACATTCGGTCATTGGCTTGTGGTTATTCAGTCTGGAAAAAGGATACTGCAGCGTTCACGGAGGCATACGGATTTGGGGAGGGAAAGGGGTCTGGCTGTCTGGCCAGTCGCTGCTCTTACAAGCCTGTCACCCTTGTTTGTATGCTAAATAGGAGAGAGAAATATCTAAAATAAAACCAAACTAATCATTAACTCTATTTCTCTCTTAACTGGCTGTAGTTCTTAACCGTATTTATTAATACAACTTTGTAGCACTTGCGATGCAAGTGGAGTAACTATCATCCCAGGTATGAACTTGATGTTGAAATTCCTTGGTAACTTTCTGTACTTTTAAGATGAGAGGGGAAAGAGGGGTGAGCTGACAGTGTGCCCGTACAACAGGAAGACAACTGATACTCTCCAAACTTCTTCCTCTCCCAAAAGCCAACCGAAGTGGTGTTCACATCCCCTGTGACCTGATACTCTTGCAAACCACTGCACTTTTAAGCTTAGGGTTGAGTTCTCCCCGCTCCCTTGCCTTGCGTCTCAGTTTACCAACGTGCTTTGCAGAGCGAGGCGCGTTCGGGGCCCGGTTCGTGCCCTCCTCGGGGGTTTGGCAGCGTTGTTTCTGTTTCAGCTTAACCTGCAGTTCAGTTTTGTTAGCAGTGTGATGACAGGGCTGTGGAGGAATAAGCTACACCTGTGTCTGCTCCAGCAATGCCTACAAAACTAATACAGACATCATTAGAGCTGCAGAAAACACTCCTGGTTCAAACGTGAGTTACTGCACCTAGAGATGTTGTTTAAGCTGTTTCAGGAAACGATCTGTTTGCGTTGTAAGCTCTGAGTCCTGGCTAGTAACTTGAGTCATGCAGGTGTCACATAAGGGGCTGCACTGGCGTCTCTTAGTCACAGGCTTTAACATCAGGCGACCGCATTTTAGCGCGGGTAGTTCCACTGTCCCTTGTCATGAATTTGGGCAGTCGTAGAGGTTCGTGTGAATATATTCCATGGCTAAAGTAATCCGTTGCCTGGCTCACAGGCCAGCTAGAGAGTTGTTATGAAAGTGGGAAGCAGATGTTGCTTAATTCACCGTGTCGGGAGAGACGTTATTTGGGACAGTGGCAGGAAAACCGAACCAGAATTCACGGCAGAGGATACAAACAGTGTTTTTGCCTTACATGCTGACTGCCACCAACCTGGCCAGAGAGCAGATTCTTCTCCATAGTAAAGATTAAATGAAGCCTTTGTTGAGATGTTGTTAATTAGGAACAGAGTGGGATGCCGCCGTGTCTGCCTTCAATAAAGAGAGATAGGATCTAAGATGTGGAAATGGCTTGGGTAACTCGAGACTATTGAAATACGTCACCTTCTTGGAGGCTAAGTGACTTGAATAGCGGACAAACCGAGAAAGAAACGTTTGAAGATCTTGTTTCTTCGATGTGGTAGGACCTCCTTCCCTTTTGAGGGCAAGCAGGCATGTTTCCTTCTTCTGAAGACCGCATGGCTTTCGTTACCCATCGAGTCGTTGCGTTTTATGGAGCTCTCTACAGGGACAAGTCTCAGTGAGTGGAGTGAAGTGAAGTGAAGTGAGTGAAGGTTTTCACTCACGTGAGTGAAGGTTTTCACTGCTCGGGCTTGCCTATCAGATCCAGATCAGCTGGTTGTTGTACGGGCCCATCAAGCTGTGTTGGGGAACGTGCTGCACCTGAGCTCTTGCCTTCCCCATCTATGTGATGTGTAAACAGAGTTACAAGTAATCAAGCAGCTAATTAAATCCTTGCATGTGAAGTCAGATGTGTGCTAATATTGAGGCCAGGAAGCTATTTCAAGATCACAGCAGCCTTAAATAGATTATAGGACTGTAGTGAGAAGCTGGAGTAGACAGCGTGCGTCTTGGAGCTCGGATTCTGCTACCACGGGAATGCCAGACATTTTTTGCCTATTGCTAACAAAGAGGGAAAGTGGATTGTAGCCAACCAAGTATTGGTGTCAGCTTCGTTAAACAGCTAGCAAGAAGTGAATTAACTAAGCTACTACAAGGCAGTATTCTAGCAACAATTAGCATGAACCTCGTTAAACATTTTAAGAACATTAATGAGCTCACCTAGAGACCCGAATTGTCATTTCATACCTGCTTTTTTTCCAGAGGGATCATTTTTAATAGAAATAAAATGTGATAATAATAACCTCAAACTGGCTTTTTAAGGGTAGAATATTGGATTTTATGAGGAAATATATTGGCAATACCCTTTTGGCTTTTGACTTCTAGCGAAAACACCGATGGCATCTAACCTAGATAAGTAGGAAGGTGAGTTGCAGGTTCCTGTGGGCTTTGTGGGACCGGAATTTCGCCTTTGTTCTCCTGGCCAGCCTTCCCATTTCCCTTTCAGGACTTTGAGGATCCCGTTGGTAAGATTTTCCAAAGGCTTTAAAAAAAAAAAAAAAGGAATTTTGAATGAGTACTTCATCTTTTAATTAGAACTAGTTATTTTAAGTACTCTAAAGTATTTTATGACTTAATTTCCACATGCTAAGTGTGCAGGCCTTTAAAAAAAAGAAATCACAATATCGTTATAAAAACAGCTCTTTCTGCCAACACCGACTATCTGGGGAGCTGTCGTGCCAAGACCAAGAGGCTTCACTAGACCGTGTGTGCTTGCATAAGCAAAGCATTAGCGAGACACTGTCCCGTTTTGGAGCCATTTCCATTTAGTCTGTGGCTGCCACCACTGTTTGTTCTCAGAAATGTCCTTTTTTTCTAATGTGTAAACTAGCTAATTTATTTTTGCATTGCTTCTGTTGTGCTTTAGGGAATTAATCTTGACAAAACTGCCCTCTGCATTCTTGAATTTAAGGCTTCTGGAAAGGGAAAGACTTGCCAAGTACACAACTCCCTGGCAAGAAACTAAAATCCTGTGTGTGGTCAGTTCCCAATTAAACGTAACTAGTACAGTGTTATATTTAAAATGTTTAAAAACATCTAGTTACACTTGAAAGCACTTTTTTTCCCTTTTTATTCTTGAACAAATCAAACCTGATACATTCAACACGTGTTTTATAGGCAGAATGGAGCGCAGAGTCTGAGGAAAGTAAATTGGCAGTTTGAGCATGGAAGGAGCAATGGATGCAAATCCTCGGCTCTTTTATAAGCACAGAAAGTGCTGGAAGATGGGGGATGTCTTTAAAGGTGCACTTTAGATAACAAACAGCTGACAAGCTCAAATGTTTATCTTACATCTCTTAGTACTTCTTATATATGACCTGCAAGAAGTGTTCTTGCATTTCTGAGGTTTTATTTATTTGTTATATAAAGCAAGTCTGTCCGGAAATAAAAGTGCTTTCTTTGGCTTTTTTTTCAGCCCTACAAAACAGAGCAGCTTAGACTCCTGAACTGCTGCAATGTTTTGGAGCACTCTGTTACTTGCCAGGGCATCCGTAGAGTTTTCGGGATAACCAAGACTTGAATTCCTCCTCCTCCTGGTAGGGACTGCAGGAGCACTTTTTAGGGCAGCCGCACTTATTCACAGAAAAGCAAAATGAGACACTTTTTCGCTTGCCCCCCATGCATATTTTTTCATATAGTCTTCAAAGAAGCAGGTACTGAGCTGCTTCCTAACCACCCGCTCCAAAGGCTACACTTCCCAGTGTATCATGTGCGGTGTTAAGTAACATAAGAGTGAGACACCCGTCGAACCTTCAGCAGTAGATTTTAGATAGCTGTAGGCTGAATAAACCCATTGTTTTGTATCTCTGTAGGCCCAAAGTTGTTAAATTAGCGAGTCGGTTGGACAAGATGCAGCTCGTCCCTGGGAACAGACGTGTCGGAAGGCGCTCCCGGAGCCTCCTCCTGCTGACGGCCACGCGGGCCCGCTCCAACGCGCTGCATTAACGCTGCACGTGCACGATCCAGCTGCTCTTTACACGGGAGAAAGGAGGTTCTCCCCAGCCCAGCCCCTTCCAGGCTGAGGGAGCTGAGCAGCCCGCGTGGCACCTCCCTGGGAGGGAGGCCCTGCAGTTCTCCCCCCTTTAGATGAGCCCTCTTTTTGGAGCCGCTTGGCACCGCTGGCTGAACCTCCGCAGCCTTTGCCTCAAGCAGAGGGTTCAGTGACACCTTTAGAGCCAAGGGCCACTGGATGAGAAGCAAATACTTTTGTGGAGGTCAGTGACTGGGCTGCAGCGCACGCCGCTGCCTCCGTAGCTCAGCATCCTCGTGTCTCCTCCACTACAGTCCCTGGGGAACCGTGTCCCCCAGGAAATTCCTCCATCAAGCCTTGGTCACCTCCTCTTCCTGGGAGAGCTCTCAGGCAAAGCTCTGGAGAACCTCTGACACCTTTTCTTCCTAGAAGAGTTTTCCTAAAGCTTTTCCAGCACTGTCAAGCTCACTCTGCTCCCAGTCCAGCAGCTCAGCTGCCGAGCACTGGCCTGGAACCTGGATGCCTGACATCGTTTTCCAAGCTTTTCTCAGGCCGTCCTTACTGGATGCATTATGGTGTTTTCCTGTTTACTCCTCCCAAAGCCCTCTGTTTTGTTTATGCCATGCAGTTTGTCCGGAAAGTCTACATTTAACACGTAGTGATTTCCCAACCGGGTGGCCTGGAGCGCTCATGTGCCGTGTCCGCGTCCCCGTCACCGCTGTAGCTGAGCACAGGGAGAACTCCCGTGCCTTTTCACTGACCTCTTTGCAGAGGGCTGCCCTGCTCCAGGGCTTTGGAGCGGGTGCCGGGAGGAGCCGCCGGCCCGGCCACCTCCGGACCCGTCTCCTTTGAGCCGCTGCCACCCGCTCGGCCACCCCTGCTGCCAGCAGGTCACCTCCGGCAGGGACACGGGGCTCTGCCAGGCCCTGGCACCGTGGCAGGAGGAGGCTCTGGAAGGGAACACGGCCGCGTGTCCTGGGCTCCGAACACCTCAGGGAAAAACCACTCCGCCTTTACGAACCCCAAAGACTTTGAGCCCCTCTTTCTGCTAACCCCTCATTGTGGCTAATACCCATGGAAAAAAAAAGTGTGCAAATTTAACATTTCAAAACCTAACTGATATCCAGTATTCTACCCTTAAAAGCTTTTCACGATCAAGATTAGAATCATCAGTCCGTCTTGATGGTTTTAATATGTGGTCGGAAAGTTACCCATTTTATGCTGGCATCCAGTCACGTCATTCCCCATAATCTTTCTCTTGGTTTTGTTAGCCTTGTTGTTCATAATTTCCTTTCCGAGTGTTTCTTTATTTGAAATGCCGTTTATATTTTGTTGCCTTTTTTTTTCCAGCACATCTTACATCTTTGTTTTTGTTTTGTTTTTAATCTTATTTCTGGCGTTTTCCATCGCTCTGTGGCCATGATTGTGGATGTGTTTTGGTTTTTGCCTGCCTTGCTGTTCTCTCGCTGCACTCCCTAGATCCCTGTTGCACAGTCCTCTGTCATGGATGACATTGAGGAGTGGCTCAGTACCGACTTGGTGAGACTCTTTATATTTTCATTTTCTCCATTGGCAATAGCACTTTGTACGGATAACTCTCAATACACTGCTCAAGTTATTGCTGCTTCTCTGTGGTTAACAGGGAGGCAGGGAAACTTTTGGATCCTATAGCTGATTTCCCTTGGAGCGAAATACAGAAATAGGTGGAGATAGGGTTACGTCCAGCAATACAATCAAAACATTTTTTTTCTTAGCCATTTTATTTTCCCTGCTCCATTTTACCATTGCAGAAATGTCCTGTTTCTGATTCCCATATAGGAAAACGTCTAAACATGTGCTGGAATTTACCGGTGTTCTCCACAGGACATTAAGCACATGCTTAAAGTTGCATTAGTTTTGACAGGATTTAAGTACATGCTCAATTTTAGTCATGCTTTTAAGAGCATGCAGTAGCAGAGCTTAGATTCCTTTCAAACTGAGATGTGTCTGTTCAAACCAGCAATCGGGAAATTTTGACGTGTAATAATAATATTTATAAATTTATGACAACATCACTTCAACATTTGTAGCTTAGTTTCTCCTTAGATTATCATCTGGCAAATATTCAACAAACAAAGAAAACCAAAGACTTCTAACTGAAAGTAGCTTTTTGGTTCAATCTGGAGTTTATTTTGCTGTACCTGTACACACTCGTTTAAGCAGCAGTACAGCTAGTATGTGTTTATTTAGGTCTGTTTTTAATGTAAATACCTGGCTCAAATTAAGCAGGTGTATTTTGAGGAGGGGTGGTGGGTTGCATTACAAACAGTTCTTTTAAACAGTGTCGTTGAATCAAAGTTCAGGCACCAAAGGAGCTGATTGCATGGAAGGGAAGATGCTCCTGCTCTTCAAAAGCCTTTTAAATATATGAACAAAGCCCAGCTTTCAGTGTTTACATTTGGTAGATTGACTGTCTATAAAACATCACTGGTTTTCAGCAGCAGGCGGTATTTTCAGGCTGTGGTACAGGCAGTCATTTTCAAATTTAATTACAAACTAGTCTCATTTTTTAAAAGAGAAATGCAGTAAATGTAACATATCCTCTCTGCTTAAATAGTAAATTTTTGCCTTCACCATTTAAATTAATTTAGCAGGGAAATTTAGCAGAGGAAATCTTACGGAGAGATAGTCAAGGTAGTTTTGTACATGTTTTACAGCTTAGGTAGCACTATGCAGAACTAGCAAAGCACAAAAATGCAGGGCAGACACGTGAACAAGCCTGGGTGTCACCTGCATCCCAGCCATGGCTGTGCTCAATGTCCTTCTCCCTGGTACCTGGGTGCCCCATCGTAATCATGCAGGGATAAATGTACCCTCCAAGAAAGCTGGAGCTGGATATTTTAGTTTTCTCTCTGGGTTCTCCTCTGGTCCTGTGTGTGTTAAAGTTTCATCTCAGCTCCCTGCTTCCCAGCTGGACCAGTTACAGGTTAGGGTAGCTAAATGTTATTTTTTTCCCTTATCCTTTTTGGAGCATCCTGGAACAAACAGTACATGTGCTCGGGGAGCTGTGGCCGCTGTGTGTGCCTTTGGAAACTGCTCTACAGTGGAAAGCTATTAGATGCTGAGTGATTTTAATTCCCAGGCATTAAACACCTTCGTGAGGCCAATCCCCATGCTCCCACTCTCCTGGTAGGGAAGCCAGGACATGTCAAAATAGGTTCAGCTTGTGATTTTCAAGCAGTGTTATAGGCCATTCTTCACATCCTGACGGGATGACCATTATGCCACCTCCTTGGACTAAATTTAATCTCCATATTAGGGAACTGCTGTGAATTCACGTGTGGAAATGCACACAGCTGGGAGAAATGCAGTGACCCTGTGGCATCCCAGCCCTTGTATCCCATGGACATATGCTAACTGCCTATCTGCTTCTTGCCTGCAGCCACGGTCCAGTCTTTTTAAAGGACTGTGTGACAGAAAAGCACCTCTAGCACTTGTCCCCTCACTCTGCAGTCCAGTGAAATGTCAGTCACCGCTGGCATCCTGACATGGGACCTGTGTGATTTCTCTAGGTCACCCTACTCAAGTGGTTACTGCGTAAAAACAGATGATGGAAACTGTCCAGTTGCTTTCAATGTGTGTAGAGGATAATAGTGAAATGCAGCCTGTGTGTTCACATGTGCCCTTTTGTTCCAATTGCAGAAAGGAGAAGAGCAGGAAGAAGGAGTGACCAGTGAAGGTGAGCAGAGCTGTTCCCCGTTTGTGTGCAGGCTGCGTTGTGATCCCAGCTGAGATGCTCACTGCTCCCAGGCTGGTGTTCCACAGCAAATACCTCTGCACTTGCAGAGGGACGAGGGTATTTCAGATCAAACTGTTAGTATTCACTGTGTTAGGGATCCTGCTGCCTTTACGTGCTTTCCTGCCCTCTCCCCTGGGCTGTTTGTTTGTGCCAAGAGGAGCACATGCCTGGGCTCCTCAACCCTTTGGAATGATGAATTTACAAGGATGATCAGGGGCCTGGAACATCTGCCCTATGAAGAGAGGCTGAGGGAGCTGAGACTGTTCAGCTGGAGAAGAGAAGGCTGAGAGGGGACCTGAGCAGTGTCTAGAAGTACCTCAAGGGAGGCAGTGAGGAGGATGGTGCTGGCCTCCTTTCAGTGGTGGCCACTGACAGAACGAGAGGAAGCGGCCGGAAACTGAGACACCAAAAGTTCCACAGGAACTTAAGGAAAAACTTCTTAACAGTGAGGGTGCCAGAGCACTGGAACAGGCTGCCCAGAGAGGTTGTGGAGTCTCCTTCTCTGGAGATCTTCCAAACCCGCTTGGACGCAGTCCTGTGCCACGTGCTCTAGGTGACCCTGCATGTGCAGGGGGTTGGACTGGATGATCTCTAGAGGTCCCTTCCAACCTTCAGCATTCTGGGATTCTATGATTCTATGTTTCCCTGCTTCTGTCCCAGCCGAGGGGGTAGTGTGGGGTTTGATTGCCCCTGCTGCCTGAACTAGGGTATCTCAAAGGACATCTGTACCCTCTTCTTGAGTCAGATTGTACACATGTGTGTGCCTGAGAATACGGCCCAGCGTGACACCAGGCGCTGGGTTTTTAGCCCCTGCTCACCTCTCTCCTTGGGGCTAAACGCACAGCCCCACTTCTTACGTGTCTCCCTTGTTTTTACCTTGCAGAGTTTGACAAATTTTTAGAAGAACGAGCCAAAGCGGCGGAGATGGTGCCCAATCTACCATCCCCTCCCCAGGAAGCCCCCACCCCTCCAACAAATTCTTCCAGCAGGAAAAAGCAGGAGCGCTCGGAGGATGCCCTCTTTGCACTGTGAAGATTGCTCCCAGCTCCCGCTGCTGCTCTGCAGAACAACGTTGCTGTCCGGCCACTTCGTCCTCTCGCAGTACTTGGCTAACAACGACCCTTTCCCCTCCTGGTTTCATAGATTGCTTCTCCTTCCCCCTCCTCTCTGTCTTTCAAACAATCCATCCCCACAAGCTGACTCTTTCTATTTAAGTCCAACACTATTCCTGCCAGACCACGGTTCTCCAGCGCTCGCTTAATCCCCTCCTTCCTATCCCAGCTGCACAAAACCAGCTCTTGATGCTGAAAACCCCTTTAGAATGCATGAGTACGTCACACTGTGTTGAAACAAAAGCCCAGAGGGGAGAGAGCAGCCTTGCCCTTCAGTTTATATAGGGATCATCCTCTTCTGTAGGCAGGTCCTGCCAAGTAGACTGCTCTGTCGATCAGCATGTAATTGACTGAGCTGGAGCGTTCAGGAGGAGTGTGTCTTTATTTTTAGATAAAATGTTAATGTATTGGCTTTCGTGTCGGTTTCGACAGCAAGGAACAACTGTTCCCCTTTCAACATGTGCTTCACAAGTCAAAATCCTTTACTCTCCCACTCACACATCTCCCCGTACCATATGGTGGTCGTTTCCCCCCACTTTGTGCAGCGCTTCATATTCTTAATCTCACAGGGTATTTTCTCCTTGTGTTTTAGCTGGGCTTGCTCTGATTTGAAAGCAGTCTGTTGGCCGGGTCCGGGAGCTCAGGCAGTTGACAGGAATGAAAAGCACTGGGCTAAACGGATGCTGTAACACTAGTGCATGAAGCATTTTGCTCTTTGGGAGAGCATACTCACATGAGGATTTTTTTCTAGTGTGTTTGCCTTTGAAAATTGCTAGATTATTTTGTCCTTACCTCAGATTCCTTCTTTAGTGACTGTGCAGCTCAGCATTTGTCTCGACGGTTGTAAATAGCATCTGTGCAAATGGATGGAACTTGCTCATGGACTGGGTGGGAGCTGAGGTTCCCAGACTCCCTGCCATGCCTGGCAGGATTCACATGCTCATTCTTGGTCGTAGGTAGGAGAAAAAGGGACAAAACCTTCCCTGGGCTTGTATGAGATCCCTGAGGGAAAGGGTTGCCCGTGGAGGGATGAGCCGGCGCTGTGGCTGTTGGTGCTGGAGGTGAAACTCTTTGTTTTCTCTTAGCCTTGGGCCTGCAGGAGTGTTGGGTCTGCAAGAGATGTAATCCCAAGCAGTCCCGTGGCATCCTTTGGTCCTCTCTGCCCAGGCTCCCAAGGGGCTGCTCCCTGGAGCTGCCAGGAGGGATTCCCACCACGCGCAGCCGCCGGGATGACCCTCGGAGCTGGAGCAGATCCCTCCCCGCGTCCCCCAGCGCCTTCCTTGGTAGGAGCCCATGGCACCAGGCGGCAGGACGGCAGCGAGAGCCGGGCGCTCCGGGGCAGAGCGCGGCTCCCGGCGCTCCGGGTGGCCATCCACGTTGTTGTCCCTTGGCAGGGCTGAGCTTCCTGGGATGCTCATGCGCGTCGGGCACTCTCAAGTTGTTCCAGACAAGCCGCAGCTTTGGCTGCCTTCACGGGGAATTGTGTTTAGAATCAACGAACGCTGCTTTTCCCTGCACCAGCTCCCTGAATGTTAGTTTTAAATGGCTCACATAAAAGGAATGGACGCTTTTATCTGAACGTGGCTATTTCGGCTCGTGACGGACTCCCTGGGGTACTGAGTGCTCTGTGGCCTCTCCCCAGGGGCCGGTTTGCAGCGTGATGGTCTTAGAGCTGCCACATTCTTTGGAGGAAAGCGTTGCTGGTGCAGGGTTTGCAGGCAGTCCAGGCCGGGTGTCCCTGTCCCCACTCACCCTCTGGGCTGCCCTCCTTGCGTTTTCTCCCTGCATCTCTCTGTATGTAGCTGGGCCCGGGCAGGGCTGCGCTGGCACCCACCTCTCTGCCCCTCTGTAGCTGCTCCCCGTCGTGCACAAAGCAGCTTGGCTTGCAAGTGGGCTAAGAAAAAACGGTGCAAGGATGGAGATGGCTTGAGGACGAAGGTGCCTGCTCTCCCCATCGTCCCCTTCAGCTGAGGTTCTGCATGACTCTGCCGGGGATTTCTCCCCGTTTTCATCCCTGAGGTTCATGTGAGTGCGAGCACAGTCTGCTTGGGAAGCCCGGCTGCTTGCAGGCGTTTGCTGCTGCCCTCGTACCCTGTGCCCGGTGAGCAAGAGAGAAGCCCATTGCTCAGGAGTCGGTTACCAGACACCCCCCTGCCAGCTCCTGCCACCCTCGGCTTTCGGCAACGCAGAAAATTCCCAGGAAACGGGGGAGACTTCCACTGCGGCGCTGGTCCGGGCACTGTCTGCCCCTTGCCAGCACAAGGCGAGTTGTTGATATTCCTGTCAGTGCAAAAAGCTCTGTGGGCGTCTTCAGTGCGTATTTTCTTTTCTAAATCCCTGACCCTGTAAATGGCCACATCAGGTGACTCTAAGCCCGTTAATCCGGCCTCCCTGCCAAGCCCCAGGAGATAATCGCGTTGCTCAAGCGTGGGGATTCTGTCAGATGATGCTGAGTGGCAAGACCCGGCCGGGGCCGTCCCCTGCCCCGAGCAAAGGGACGCTGGGGGCTGCAGCCTCCCCTCTGTGCCCTGCTAAGCCTGGCCTGGCCCTCCCGACTGTGGCTTTATGCAGAGCCTGGGCCTCCCTGGAGGCTTTTGCAGAGCTGCTGCTGTTTAACTGCTCCCTTGGCCGGGCTGGGAGATGGGATGCTCCAAGGGCTGCGGATGGGCAGCGTGTCCTGGGATAGGTCCGAGCCCCATCCCGCGCATTAACCTCGGGCGCTGGGGGGTGTAGGACAGCCCTGGGGGGATTCCTTCCTCGGGAGACGGGCGCCTGGCGCAGAGGGGTCCCCGCTCCCAACCAGCCTCCCGGGAGCTCCGTGGCGGTGCCGGAGCGAGGCGGGTTTGGAGACGGGACGCGGCGGGGAGCTGAGCGTGCAGCAGAGCCCCAGTGACCCTCAGAGCTGCATAGAGCCCCCCTAATGTCCTGTATCAGGATCGCATCTGCCCCATCCTGCCGAGCTCTGCAAAAGGGACGGGCTTGTTTGGCAGCAGGAGCCTGGCCTCCATCTGCTCTTCCTTAGCTTCCCTGTAAATGCTTCCTCTGGGCAACTGGGCAGAGAACCAGGGTGGCTCCGACGCTCGGGACAAGAGGGATGGAGCTGCAGTTGGAGCTGCTTTCCTTAAGAAATAACATCCCAAAGCTTCCTAGGCCTATTAGGAATCACAGCTTGACGCTCAATGACACTAAATTATTATTGGGACCCACTGTAAGTTCTAATAATACCCTGTCCTAGCTTAAAATATTTATTTTGTCAATATATTTTCTTTCCAGTATGTTTTTCTTAACCTCTCCTGTTAACCCTTTGTGTGCTGAGATGTAAGAAATGAATGGTTTCTATTTAAATATATAGATATTTGGGGTTTTTTTTTAATTGTTGCCTGTAGATTTCAGCTGCATCTCTGGCAGGTATCGTAGATAACAATGTGCTGTACAGACATCCAGCGTGTTCAGGACGTAGGCAAGGCTCACGGGAGAAGAGCTCATAAAAACATAGCGTGGGTTTTGTTAAAGGGAGCAGCGTAGGGATGAGGAACGGTCCATACGGGGACCCTCGCGTGGCCTCCGGCTCTCCATCCCTGAAACGTGCTGATGCAGCGAGCTGGGATCCTGCCCCGCAGGGTTGTTTCGGCCCTTGGAAGCCGAAGGAGGATTTGGGTTGGCGTTCCTGGGTTTTTGTGGGGTTCTAGGTGTGTTTTTACGGACACCACGGCGCGTTGCTGGCGGAGGGCTCCGCGGCGCCGGCTCCGTGGCGGGATGTTTCCCTCCAGCGGCGGACGCCCACGCGCAGGCAGCGGCTGGAGGCGCCGGGCAGGGCGGAATCCGCCCTCTCCGGAGCCCTGCGCGCGCGCCGCCTGCGCCCCGTCGGGCCGCGGCCCACGCGGTGTTTACATCCCGCGCTGACCGCGGAGCCCACCTGGAAAAACAGCTCGGGACGGTTGTTTTTATGGAAATAATGAAGCAGGCGGCGGGTGAGCGGGATCGGAGCCTTCTTGGAGGTAACCCTTGAGCTGCTGGGGGCACCCGCTGCCTCGGAGCAGGTTGGTGCCCTGTCCCCAGCCTCCCGGCGCCGGTGTCACCGCATGGGTCCCACTCCTGTGTTCCCCAGGCCAGGACATCTCCGTGCTGGAGGTTGCGTTTCACCAGGAGCCGGGTGGTTTCGCGCCCTGTCCCGCTCTGTGTTTTCATGAGCCCCAGCTCCTCATTCTGTACATGTCGTTATGAGCTGCTCGTAACCCTACACATGTAACCTGTGTAATAGCTTCTCTGTATATTACAGCTGTAGGCTTTCCAGATAAAAGTGGATAATATTTATTTACTGAAGATACTGGGTATTTTTTTTTGTTTGGGAATGGGGGGTAGGGGGGATGTAACTGTCTAAAGAGATCGACTATGTAAAGAGAAACAAACCGCAAAGAGCGCAAAGCAACCCGGCACTAAAATGTTGCTGTGTTCCTGTAGAAAGTGCTTACGTGAGGAGGATACAACTGTATTAACCTGCCATTTAACTCGTTCCAGAAATCATCTCGACTTTGGTTCCTGCATGTGAGATACTCCAATAAATGCACTACTAGTGTGACCCCTACGGTGGTATCGATCTGTCGTCGTCTCGCTCGGCCCCGCTGCCCCAAGGATGTGCCCAGGCTGCAGCCTCCAGAGGCTCTTCCCGGGTGGAAGATGCTCCTTGTGTCCTTGCCTGGACCCTGCTCCCAGGCACCGCGTGCGCTGCCGCTGGCAGCTCATTCCCTATGGAATCTCCCTGTCTTTCGAGGCCGACATCGGGCGGGTGGGTTGGTGGCAGCTCTTGGCTCCGGGGTGACACTGCCCGCTGGGCTGGGCTGCCCGCACGGTCCTGCTGCCCTTTGCGGTGGCGTTTGAGGGGCAGAGGAAGAGCTGGCGCCGCTGGGGCCCGCGCGTGGAGATCCAGATCAACGCTCTGTGCTGGGAAAGGCTCCTCTCTGGGGAGGAAGGCGCACGGGTTGGTTGAGAGCTGTTTTCCACCTCCCGGGAGCTGCTTATCAGCACGTGCTCAACCCGGCCCTGCGCCGGCTCCCGGCAGCGTCCTGCCGTGCGCGAGCAGAAACAGCCCGAAACGGCCCGAAATGCCCCGGGAGGAGGATGCTGCCTCGCGCGGGGTCTCAGCTCGAGCCCTGGCGTTTCCATCCCGCGACAGCGGGGACGGAGCCGCAGCCCGAGGAGGG